TGCAACCAAAAAATAGCCAGGCATTGTGGTGGGTGCCTATAGTCCCAGCTACTTGGGAGGCAGAGGCAGGAGAATCGCTTGAGCCCAGGAGCTGGAGGTTGCTGCAGCTGTAATGCCACAGTACTCTACCCAGGGCAACAGCTTGAGGCTGTGTCTCAAAAAAAAAAAAATTTGCATACACTGTCTTTAATTCCTTTAATGAAAATATGACTGTGTCAAAAAACATAGTATTAGAATTTTTACAGGGATAGTTGATAACACCTAGCAAGTATTGAAAATGTATTTGTAACTGTGATGTAAATCCTGGCAATTATTTTGGCCCCTAATCCAAGGAAAGAAAGAAGAAACAGGTGTTGAGAAATAATCAAGCAGCTGGCTTCCAGATTTCATCACATGTCTAATTTGGTTTATTATGGCTTATTAGTTTTAGTACACAGCTGTATTTTGATGAAGGATTATTCTTCTGGATAAAGTCTAATATGGTCAAATAAATGGGTTTATCCATTTTTTTGCATTATTATTTCATTATTGCATCCTGCTCTTTTGGGAATTACTGGGTACATTAAATCCAAGTTAGAACACTATAGGCCATGTTAAGAATTATCACAGTCATGTACTAAGTGAAAATAGTAAAAAATAAATGAAAAGGAAATCTATCATGACTTATATATAGAAAAAGATATTAGGAAAAAACTAAATTGTTTCATTTATAAAGGCATTGTGTGACTCTGATGCTTTATTTCCTTGTTATGTAGTTATACTGATAGTTTTAACTCATTATATAAAGAAACTCTGTATGTGAAAAATTAAGCAAAACAAATAGAAAATCAAATAGAGATATATGATAAGTTGAGATTTATATTTAAATTTTAAAGCTATAAAACCTTATCTTTTAAAATACACTGTTCAGAATCGTTAAGATAGTAGTCCTTCTCATAGTAATATTAAATGGCTTGTGCTAAGGTTATTTCCATGAAACTTTAGTTTGAAAGCTTCCTGTCAACGTAGGTATAACATGAATATGGTTGTGATACAAATCCCGGTAGTCTGTCTTCACTAGACCGTAACTCCACAAGATCCCTTGCATGGATGTTATACGGTCTGGCTCATATTTAAAAGTGTTTTTATCTCAACTATCAAACAAATGATTTGCAGTTTCCCCAGGTGGCAACACAGCACAGTACAAAATAAAATACATACACACAGACTTAGTTTTTAGCTTCAGATAAATCTGTGTTTAGGTCTCAGTCCTGTCATTCATGACCCTTGTGATCTGGGACAAGTTTATGATATTTCCAAATATTTGAATTGTCAAATGAAATTGTCTGAGATTTCCTTTCAAACCCACCCTTAAGAGAAAATTTACCTCCCACCAACAAAGATAATACCTTATGGGTGTTTCTCCTGATACCCAAAGTTTCTGTTAAAGAAAGGAAGGTCATTGGATGATAGGGACAAGATTCATGGTCTTTAAGCATAAATCCTGTTACTTAATCTGCAGACTGTTTTATTCTGAGAAATCTGGCATCCTTTTGCCTCCACTTTCTAAAACTTGGGCATGATCAAGGCAAACCTATTTGTAACTTCTAATCTTATTTTCTTATGTGAGATCTATAGGGAAGATTTATTACATTTTAAATCTGACCTCTTATCAAGAATCTTGCTTTATTTTGACTTTCATACTACATAGCTGTTCTACTTGCCACATTAAGTAAATGTATAATCACTGGCTAACCCACACAACCCTGAGACTTTCCAGTAATTACCGGTGAGAAATTTGAAAGTTATCAATATGTATCCTAGCAAATGATAAGTTTAATTTTTCCCCCTGCCCATCATTTGCACTTGGACTAGGTCATCTCTAAACTTAACACTTCTTTATCTCCATAATATTTACAACTGTCAGTAGAACCGGCACCCTGGTGAAATAGAAATGAGTAATTTCAGGCACAGACCAGATGTCCACTAGGAGGAGATGTTGTAGAGAAAAGCGAAATATCCCTTGAGTGGATCTCAAACAGTATTATGTACTGTACCTATCTGCATTGCTATTGTAGCTTTTAATTACAAGTATAATATTTTACTTGTCATTGTATTAGCAATAAAATATATTTCTAGTATTACTGCAATGCATTCATACTATATTTCATTTAAAACAGTAAAATAATTTATGTAACTATATTATGATTTATTGTGTTCATCATAGCAAAAATAATTTATAATGAAATACTTCTTCTATTAGACTGAGTTTTCAAATGAAATTAAAATGTTTAATAGGCTACACATTGGGCTTCTATGGTAAAATTAGGAGGTGCATAAACTTTGTGTAGCTTTTCTACCCAGGGACATTTTTGGTAGATATTGAAGGCAGAATTAAAGGTTTCTTAAAGACAGAGTAGGGAAGAGGAATCACTTAACCACCAGTGACAGTAACTCTCATGAAATAACCTAACTTAGTAAACTGTAAACTCAAAAAGACAGAAAACTCAGTGAATGTTTGGATGAAAGAATAATATACTACTATTGCAAATAAAAGTGGACTGCTGCTAGCAATTAGTGAGTAGTCAACTAAGATTTGATAACAGTTTTATGTCTGAACATTTGGGATATAATGGATATTTGGTTGTACACCTAAGTGACAGTAGTCAACATCAGGTTTATAATGTATTCTGATCTAATTAACAACTGTAAAAAATGCCTTAAATGAATACAAGCAGTACAGGGTTACAGACTTAATGGCATTCCATACTTACAAACAGGCTCCCAATGCTCCCCAGAAGGATAACTTAAATAATTAGATTAATAACTCAAGAGCTAGCTTCTTCCGCACATTTAAGCAAATTCATATGGTGTAAGTGGTTCATTGGCACAGCATCTTTATGCTAGCAGTTGGTTTCGTTGTACAGCATCTCTTTAGTCTTAACTTTCTAATTCAGTTTTGTGAGTCTGTGTTTACCCTATAACCATGCCTCCCGAGCGAAAGTCCACTGCAAGTCCAGGTGAGCCTGCAGCAAAGAGAAAGGGGATTACAATGGAAATGAAAGTAGAAATAATTAAGGGTTCAGAGACAGGCCAGACACCATCATTCACTGGGGAAACTTTAGGCTTCGATCACTCAACTACTGGAATAAAGCGAGAGTAACAGAGCATGGGAAAGGCAGTGCTCCAGTGAAAGCATGAATTATGACTAAGGCCCACATGGATTAATATTGAAATGGAAAGGTTCTTATTGATTTGGTTAGAAGATCAAAATAAGTGTAACATCCCCCTATTAGCCTAGCATTGATGTAACTTTAGGTGAGTGTTAACCTTTAATATTCTCTTTTAAAATGTCTCCTTTCTCCTATGTAAACATTTTTGTATAAGTTTTTTTATGACTGTTTGAATTAAAAGACTTCAATAGTTTCTGTAATTCAACCTCTACTTTTACACTTATTATTTTAATTATAGTATTATGCTATATTATTATTACCACGAGCCAGTGTAGTGTTGTTGTTACAGAATTTGTACTGTTCATCAGGAATCTGCATTACATACAAATCAGACCCAAAGACATTCTCAGAGCTTATCTTGTCTGTTATCTGAGGACCAACTGTATGTTGCTTTCCAATTAACCTACCTGATACTTGAGAAATTTACTGGGAACACTCAATTTTTCTAGTGTCTTCATTGTTTGAATTATAAGAATTCTAAGTCATAATATTCCTCAAAGAGGAAATAAACATTCTGAGACATTGAGTAGGGGTTATTCTAACAGAAAACGTTTCTATAATTGGTAAAAGGCAAAACATCTAAGATAATTTAAGAGTAGTCTTGATACTAATGTAATATTGGAATATGGATCTGAACAAATTTGTAGAAAATGTGAAAGCTGCAAAATAAAATACTTTAAAAATGAGACACGTGAAAGCCCTTTTAGTCATTTAACAGGGGCTGAGGAGGTTCCCATTCAGAAAAAGTGAGCTTATTTGAAACACCACAAGTAAAGGTTCTGTAGTTGCTGATTACCTTCATTAGGTATGCCTCTAAGTTATAAGAATACTGTGATTTTGTTGTTGTTGTTTTAAATGACCATCATTTAAATGCATATAATCCCGGAGAAAAATCTCTGAGGGAAACCTGTGTGTGATTACAAACATGTTACCATTTCAGACATATTTTGCATCTGTTACTAAACTACTTTACCAATCACATAAAAATAAGTAAATAAACTTCACTACCTAATTCACATTACCTTTTGAACTAAAAATGGTATTTCTCAGCTTGATAAATAGTTCATTCCCTATATTTGATTATTTATTTATAAAAGTCAATTACATTAATAAAATGAAGGGTTGCCAACATTAATATTTCAGACGGTTAAGTCATACTGTCCACCTGGAGTCCAGACTTAGCCCCATGGATGTCAGTGTGCCACCTTCTCAGAAATACTTTGAGCAACTGCTACCTCCATATGTATGTCTGTCTGTATTTGTGAGGTGACTATTTGGAAGGAAACAAGTTACTGGGGGCAGAGCTCGGGCTCTAGCATTTGCTGCACTGCTGTGTCCCTCCTACTGGCCTGTCGAGACCAAGGGGACCAGCTGCGCCGTGGGCCTGCCCGTGAGCCTGGCCGCATAATGAGTCCCTGCCTCAGCCGCTCCCACTGCAGGCCAGCAGGATCCGCAGCACCTGACAGCCCTACCCCTGCCCCCCCCAGGCCTCAGATCCTATCAGACAGGACAGCATGTCCCTTAAGATCTTGAACCAAAAGCACAAAATGCTCACGTGATGTTTAGAAATAATCTGAGGGTGTGTCGGGACATCCTGCTGCCATCAGGACACAGGCTCTGGGGCACTGAGCAGCACCCTATGGCTCTACTTCGTTCTGCTCTTCCTTCAAGGCCGGCGGAGTGGCAGACAGGGTCTGGTTCATACATGACAGCCGTGGCATGATCTGTGGCGTCATGACGTGGCGTCTGGTCTTCTGTGCAGACCTGGTGGTGGCTTTGTCATGCTGGTACTCCATAGTCAACTGGGTCATGTTCAACTGCCTGGCGGTGCTCACTCCGTCCTCCCATCTGAGAACCAAGCTCCTGCACCCAGGGACGGTACCCAAAGGAAATGCTACAAAAGAATACACGAGAGTTTGCAGCTGAAGAGGGGGAAGTGATCTACAAGTGTCCCAAGTGCTGCTGCATCAAGCCCGCCCGCACCACTGCAGTGTTTGCCAAAGAGTATTCAGAAAACGGACCATCCCTGCCCACGGGGGAACAGTTGTGCTCTTCACTACGTACATAGCCATCTCCAGTCCATCCTCTGATTCTCTGTGGATTTCAGTTTATGTCCTGTGTCCCAGGGCAGTGGACTGAACGCAGTGATTTTTCACCTGCAGTGACCTCAATGCTGTTGATCTTCCTGTACCTTGAGAGTCTTCTGTTTTTCACTTTTGCTGATTAAGTTTGGCACCGAGATCCACTCAATATGCAAGGACTAGACAGTTTGAGAGGCTGAAGAGTGAGAAGCCCACGTGGGAGTGGAGGCTGTGATGGGAAGGGGTGAAATCTGTTTTGGGGGTCCCCGTTACTCCTCTGGATGAACCCCTTTGTCAGCTTTTGATTTAGGCAACTGCTGATGAGACCCAGAAAAGGAGGCCCTGAGTTCCCTGTGTGAGGCCACCACTAGGCTGTCACCTGCTACCAGACATGGAGCAACAGGACAAAGGGAACCTTCATGAACCAGTCGCATGCAGCCAGCAGTTTTACGTATTTATAGTCACAGATGGGAGATTTTCAAACTAGATGAGGTTCTCCTCAGTTTTCATCTGTATGAACAGCACAAGGTATGTGGCCACTGAAGACACCGAAGGTCAATACCTTTCTGTACAGCTGGGATTTTTGTTAAACATACTTTGCATTTTCTAAGATGTTGTTTGGGGTGTTACATAGATACATTTTAAGCTGCATTTTTCAATCATGAAGGGAAAAAATGTCAATCCAGTGAACAAGGATTCTCCAGCGGGTCACTCCAGGGAGCTCCTCTTGACCCTGGTTCATTAACCCACTCCCTCAGTCCCAGCAGGGGCATTTATATTAGACCAGGTGTCCTTACACTTTTTAAACAGGGGTCCAGTTCACTGTCCCTCACACCGTTGGAGGGCCGGACTATAGTTTAAAAGGACAAGCAGCGGTGGCAAAAACACCCCGCAGGCCAGATAAATGTCCTCTGCAGACTGCATGTGGCCCACGGGCCATAGTTTGAGGACACCTGATGTAGACAGACATTTTGGTCTCATTCGCTCTGACATTTTGCACTGAGGTTGCGAAAGATCTGTGCACTGAACAGTGAGGCAGCCTCTGGGCACAGCCTACTGCCTGGAAGAGGCATCCTCTGACCTTTTCCGCAAGTCTGTCTGCATTCGTGAGCATGTCTGCATGTGTGGGCTGATTTTTATTATAAAAATCTTGGGTGCATGAGAGCCTTGGAACTGATTTTGTGTTATTGTTGTTCTAGCCAAATCAGGCTGTATAAATGGCACCTCAGTAAGAAAGGAGCCAAATCTCATGGTGGCCTGATACTTTGGGCAGCTCAGGGTGGGGAGGGTGGGCATGTAAGCCTGGAAACACTGGGGAAGCAGAGGTTGGCCCTGTGGCACCTATGGGAGGGTGAGGGGACCATGAGGCAGCCATGCCTCATGGTGACTCCATGTGTCTTATTACAGGCAACACCAATGCTGAGAACAGCCCAGGTGGCATCAGCCAGTCAGATTTTTTGTGTCGGCATTTGTGTTTCTCTATCCACACACAAGTGGTAAAATAGGATCCTTTAGGGTGCAGATCTTAAAATTATGTCAGAAAGCAAATGGCTCCCCTCCTTGGAGACCTGCCTTAAACTTGCCTGATATGTACATTTTTTGCCAGTCACATCAAGAAGCAATCTGTGACAAATCAGACTTCCTTGAAGTCTGCCGCCCATGCTAAGAAAAGTTGGCATTTTCCTCCTGGGAACTGTTTGCCCTTCTGTACATCTGTGAGCTGTTCTCTGTTTGTTCTTAATCACTCTGTGCCCTGTCCTAACCAGGGCATCTACTGTTGTAAACCACAAAGGGGCTGACTGGGAGACAGTCCTAGCCAAGTGAACAAACCTGCAGAATGCGTTGAAATGGACTAAGTCACTGTAAGGGACAAACTGTGTCACAGCCAGAGGGACAAAACACATTGTGGTGATCCAGGAGACCAGAGTTTCCAGAGATTGTCTTGCATATTCATTTGCACATCTGTTGTCTGGGTTGGATGCATGTATTGGGCTTCAATGTGAGGCTTTTAAGATGTATGTCCTTGTTTCTCAATAAAAAGCAAATTGTTGAAGAGGTTGAATCCTGTGAGACTTGGCCAGTGTATGTGAATCTAGTGTCCTTGACTTTTCAATTTCTTCTTCCAATGAAACTTTCATATGAAATAAAGTAACCAATTGATAGTTAAAAAAAAAAAAGAAAGAAAGAAATACGTTATTTGGATAAAGTTCAGTGTGTCAGCTTAAAATGAAGTTTTATATATAGGGTATTTCTTACATTATTTTTGTTTCAAAACAAAACACCTTCTTTCAAAATAATGTAATTGCTGTTCATCTGGTATATTTCATAACTATACTATAAGCCTAAAATTATGAGGTAGGAAAATAGAATCTTTATTTCTTTTTCTTTTTTTAGACTACAACCAAATCACATTTAAATCCAGCCTTTGAAGATGCCTGGAGCAGCAGTGATGAAGAAGGATGACTGTGGACCTTTAGTACCTGTGTGTCTCTATGGATGAAACTTTAAAAAGGAGTGTTTGTATGGGCTTTGTTTTAAACTGTCCTGTCAATTCCTGACAACTGAATCCCTGTGCTATAAAACAAGGTTAAGTTTCGCATGAACTCCTAAAGCAGACTTCTATATAATTTATCAAAACATGTCTCCTTAACCCAGTTGCAGCCTGGAGCAGCTCCTTTTGCTACAGTATAAGGACAGAAGCCATTGTGCCTCATTTGGGACCATCAGCAGGTTCTATGAACGCTAAGATGCAGCAAGATCCGCAGCTGATCAAGAGGATCAGGAGTCATCAGCATTGACTTTCTCCTACTGGGAGGACCAGCTGCCTGCTCATTTCTACCCGTGAGGGTGATTTTACTGAAGATGATTACATTAAGAATAGTAGATGGAAAGGTGCTATCAAATTATTTTATTCTTTCTTATTTGTGTACTCACATTTTGCAATGATTTCACTTAACTGACCTTCATCTAGCTTTATGTTAAACATTTTTTGGACTCAGTGTCTCCTACAGTCCAAAAAGTGCTTCATGGACGTTTTTAACTTGGCAAAAATCCCATGTTTGCTTTATTTTAATGTCAGAGGCCAGCTTGCACTCATGCTTCAGCTCCCTTTCTGTGAAACTCATTAAGATATCACCAAATCCTGCTTTATTCATCCAAGCAGAAAATGTCCTGGCAGGGAATCTGGCTTAAACATGAAATGTTGTCAGAAAATTTCTATTTTATTGTCGCCTTTTATGTCAACCCCCAAATGATTATCATGAAGCTAATCTTGATATTCCCTTTCTTCCTGATTCTTACCAGCAGGACACTAGTAAAAGAGGTTTTTGTGAGTTTGAATACCAAGTACAGGGGATGAGTTTCTCAGTGAATAACAGACCTCATATCAGGTCTTTCTGAACAAATACTTTTCATACACTTGCTTTTATACTTGATAGTTTTTCAATAGATAGAAAAAAATTATGTGTTTCTACCATGTACAAGATACTGTTTTAAAGCATATATACCTTGGGCAGCACCTGTGGCTCAGTGGGTAGGGTGCTAGGCCCATATACTGAGGGTGGTAGATTCAAACCCAGCCCTGGCTAAACTGCAACAAAAAAATAGCCAGGCACTCTGGCAGGTGTCTGTAGTCCCAGCTACTCAAGAGGCTGAGGCAGGAGAACCACCTAAGCCCAGGAGTTGGAGGTTGCTGTGAGCTATGATACCACGGCACTCTATCGAGGGCAATAAAATGAGACTCTATCTCTAAAAAAAATAAATAAATAAAAATTAAAAATAAAGCTTATATACCTTATAGAATGACTATATCTAGCTAATTAACATATTTATTACCTCACACAGTTATCATTTTTGCAGTGAGAACACTGTACATATAGTCTCAGCATTTTTCAGAATACAGTATATTGTTAACTATAGTTACCATGTTATACAATAGATCTCTTAAATTTATTCCTCCTATTTAACAGAAAAAAAAATTTTTTTGAGACAGAATCTCATTTTGTCACCCTTGATAGAGTTCTGTGGTGTCATAGCTCACAGCAACCTCAAACTCTTGGGATCAAGAGATCCTCCTGTATCAGCCTCTCAAGGAGCTGGGACTACTGGCACTCACCATAAAACCCAGCTATTTTTAGAAATAGGGTCTTGCTCTTGCTCAGGCTGGTTTCAAACTCATGAGCATAAGCAATTTGCCTGCCTCAGACTCCCAGAGTGCTGGGATTTCAGGTGTGAACCACTGTGCTTGGCCTATTTAACTGAAATTTTGTATCCTGTGACCAACATCTCCCCGAACCCCCTCAACCATTTCTGCCCCATGTAACCACCATTCCACTCTCTATATCTATAAGCTTGAGCACATGGTATTTGTTTTTCAGTGCCTGGCTTATTTCACTTAACATCATATCCTCCAGGTTCATCGATGTTGTCATGAAGGATAGGATTTCGTTTTTGTGGCTATATAGTATTCCATTGCATATTTATTATACACAACACATTTTCTTTACCCATTCATCCACTCATGGACAATTAGGCTGACTATATTTCTTGGCTATTGTGAATAAAGCTGCAGTGAACATGCAGATAGCTCTTCAACATACTAATTTCATATCCTTTGGGGGTAAACCCAGTAGTGAGATTGCTGATTCATATTGAAGTTCTATATTTAATTTTTTGAGGACACTTCATGCATTTTTTCATAATGGTTAAATTAATTTACATTCCCACCAACAGTGTTAGAGGGTTGCCTTTTCTCCATATCATCACCACCACCAGTTATCTTTTGTCTCATTGATATCCATTTTAACAAGTGTGAGGTGATTTATCAATGCAGCTTTAATCTGCATTTACCTGACAACAAGATATGTTGAACATTTTTTCCTATAACTGCCCATTTATGTCTTCTTCTGAGAAATGTCTATTCAGGTCCTTTGTCCATTATTTAATTGGGTTCTTGAGTTGAGTTTTTTATATATTTTGGATATTAATCCCTTATCAGATCTATAGTTTGTAAATATTTTCTCCCATTCTATAGGTTGTCTCTTTACCCTGTTAATTGTTTCCTTTGCTGTGCATAAACATTTTAGTTTGATGTAATTACAGTTGTCTATATTTGCTTTTGTTGCCTGTGCTTTTCATATCATATCCAAAAACTATGCCAGAGACCAGAGTAATAGAGCTTGTTCCCTAAACCATTGTCTTCTAATGGTTTCATAGTTTTGAATAGTTATTTTCATAAGCCCAGACCATACTACTCTCACTTTTTTCCCCTTTAGTGAGGATGATTTGACCTTTGAGAAAGCTACTAAAATTGGAAATTATTTTTAATTTTAAGAAAATGAAGTCTTGGGCAGTACCTGTGGCTCAGTGAGTAGGACACTGGCCCCATATACCAAGGGTGGCGGGTTCAAACCCACCTCCAGCCAAACTACAACAAAAAAAAATAGCCAGCCATTGTGGCAGGTGCCTATAGTCCCAGCTACCTGGGAGGCTGAGGCAAGAGAATCGCCTAAGCCCAAGAGCTGGAGGTTGCTGTGAGCTGTGACACCACAGCAGTCTACGGAGGGTGACAAAGTGAGACTGTGTCTCTAAAAAAAAAAAAAAAAAGGAAAAGTCCTCTTCTGAACTGCCCATAACTGTTTTGCTTCTTTCCAGTTACATGTACTCATACACATGATAATAACCTGGAACTATCATAATACCATAAGCCAACATTTTGGTAGCTTTTTTCCCATACATCTCTTTATGACACATAATTTTATATACTAGGATGTTTGAGATGCTGCTGTACAGAAGCCCCTCTCTTTCCATATCAGCCCCTTATTATGCCCCCTGCTGCATTCCAAGGTATTAACTTAGTATGTATTCTTTCATATTACAATCCTACATGATCTATGTACATGTATATGGGGATGCATTTTTATTTTGCAAAGATGGGACACATGCGGTTCTACCTTGTTTTTTTCAGATAGAGCTCACATAAATCCTTCTGTGTCTTCTCTTATAACAAAGACATTCTTTTTTTGACTACATAATGATCCACCTTGTGCATGTACCCCAATTTTTTTCAACCAGTCTCCTGTTCAGGGCCATACCTACAGTAGTAAAGATTATGAACTGTCCTTTATTTTGCGTGGTACCAAATTATTGAGTATCATCTGTTCCTCTGGCAGAGGAAACCATAGTTTCCCTGGGTATAGGTATAGTATTCATGAGTCATGGTCCTTTTCTTTAATTATCGTATAGATAATTGTGTGCACTTTTTTCTAGCTTCTGGTATTGCAGATGAGAATTTCAAAGCCAGTTTGATTTTTCTTTTCCCATCATAGGGTATTCATTCTTTACAGCTGAAAGTTTGTAAATTAGGTTTTTTGTCTTTATACTTAACAGTTTTTTTATTTTATCAAAATAGTTAATATCTTTTATTTTTTATCCCATCACTTCTTGGACTTCTTGTGAGCTTTTTCACTGTGAATCCCCAAACCTTTTCTCAGCTCCGGGATATTTTCTTCTAATATTTGTCTAATTGTTGCTTCTCCTTTGTCTTTTTTGATTTATCTTCTTTGGATCATCTAATGATTACATTTAAAGTCTAACCTGCTCTCTCCTTCAGAGTCTTATGTTTTCCTTCCTGCTTGCTTTTTTAAAATTCTTAGAATAGGACCTGGCTCAGTGCCTCATAGTAGGTGCTCAGTAAGTACTTGTTTTGTATTTGTCTGTTCCGTGCTTTGAGAGTTTATGCGTGATCTTCAAGGTTACAAATTCAAGCCTGATTGATCATCAGGTGAGACTTATAAATTATTGTTTTATTTCCCTTCTCACTCTCTCTTTTTTTTTAGCACTTGCAGAAACATTCAGAGAACTATAGGAAGTTTTTTTAAATTTTTTATAATTAATTTTTTATTAAATCGTAACTTTGTATGTTGATGCATTTATGGGGTTCAGGGTACTACTTCGATATACAATGTGAAATGTTTACATTGAACCAAGTAACACATCCATCACAATTATACTCATTTCTTAATAGTTTTGAAATGTACAATTGCATCATGCACATTAGGTAAGGTCCCCTCGAGTACCCTCCCTTCTCCCAAATCCCCTTTCCCCACCCCTCTCCTCTTCCCTTCTACTTTATGGACTGTAGTTATGTTTTGCCATTCATATGATTGGGCAGGTGGTTATATATAGATTTCATAATAGTATTGAGTACACTGGATACTTTTTTTCCCATTCTCGGGATACTTCACTAAGAAGAACATTTTCCAGCTCTATCCAGGTAAACATAAAAGATGTGAAGGCTCCATAGTATTTATGGCTACATAGTATTCCATGGTGTACATATACCACAATTTGTTAATCCATTCATGGGTTGATGGGCACTTGGGCTGTTTCCATGTCTTGGCTATTATGAATTGGGTTGCAATAAACATTCTGGTACAAATGTCTTTGTTGTAAAATAATTTTTGATCATCTAGGTATATACCTAGTAGAGGAATTGCAGGATCAAAAGGTAGGTCTACTTTTAGTTCCTTGAGTGTTCTCCAAACTTCCTTCCAAAAAGGCCTTATTAGTTTGCATTCCCACCAGCAGTGTAGAAGCGTTCCCTTCTCTCCGCATCCACACCAACATCTGTAGTTTTGGGATTTTGTGATGTGAACTAATCTTACTGGAGTTAGATGATATCTCACAATGGTTTTGATTTGCATTTCTCTGATGATTAAGGATGATGAGCATTTTTTTTTTTGATAGTTTTTGGCCAGGGCTGGGTTTGAACCCACTACCTCTAGCATATGGGGCCAGTGCCCTACTCCTTTGAGCCACAGACGCCGACCGGCATCATGAGCATTTTTTCATGTTTGTAGGCCATGTGCCTGTCTCATCAGAGAAGTTTCTGTTCAAGTCTCTTGCCCACATAGAAATGGGATTATTTATCTTTTCTTATTGATTAGTTTGAGTTCTCTGTAGATTCTAGTTATCAGTCTACGGCCATACCACCCTGAACGCCCCAATCTCGTCTGATCTCAGAAGATTCTAGTTATCAGACCTTTGTCAGAAGCGTAACGTGCAAAAATCTTCTCCCATTCTGAAGGTTGTCTGTTTGCTATACTTACTGTGCTCTTGGCTGTGCAAAAGCTTTTTAGTTTGATCAGATCCCAGTAATGTACTGTTGCTTCAGTTGCCCAGGGGGTCTTCCTCATAAAATATTCCCCCAGGCCAATTTCTTCAAGTGTTTTCCCTGCACTCTCTTCTAGCGTTTTTATACTTTCATGTCTTAAGTTTAAATCTTTTATCCAGTGAGAATCAATTTTTGTTAATGGTGAAAGGTGGGGGTCCAGTTCCAGTCTTCTACAGGTCACCAGCCAGTTCACACAGCACCATTTGTTAAATAGGGAGTCTTTCCCCCATTGAATGTTATTGATAGGCTTGTTGAAGATCAAATGACAATAAGTAGCTGGGTTCACTTCTTGGTTTTCTATTTTGTTCCATAAATCTACCACTCTGTTTTTGTGCCAGTACCATGCTGTTTTGATCACTATGGATTTATAGTATAGCCTG